TTATAATAAAGCTTTTTAGTTATAGGATATTTATTTGATAATTTCTTTAATATTGGTTTTTCTTTTCTATAAGCTGATTATATTATTAAAGATCAATCTATAATATTACTTTTATCATTTTATAGAAAATTTTTAGTTAAAAATTTATTATTAAAATTATATCTTTAATATTTTTTTTTAGTCTATTATAATATTAATTATAGTATATTTAATCTTTATAATAAAAATTATTTATAATTTAAAGATATATTAATATATATTCTTCTATAGATTAAATTTATTAAATATTTTAAATCTTATAGATTGCTATAAGCTTTTTATTAATAATTCTATAAAATTATTTAAATTTAGTAATAAAATATCTATAATTTATAAATATTAAAATTATTTTTAGATTTTTTTATTTAATATTTACTTTAAGTTAGTTCTTAATATATAATATAAATTACTTTATAATATTTTTAATTAAGAAATTAAATATTATTAATACTTTTACTTTCTTAGTGTTGATCTTTGTAGTATTATTAAAAAAATAGATTCTTATTTAAATAAGAAATATATTAAGTATTTTAAATTTTTTAAAAATAATTCTATTTTATTAATTTTTAGTTTTTAATTTAAATTATTAATTTATTATTATACTATAGTATTTTTAAATTTAATAATTTTGATAAAATATTTCTAAACTTAGTTATTAAGATTTATTTAATTTTATTAAAAGATAAATAATTATTATTTATTATTATTAAAAATGATATTATTTATTTATAATTTTTTAAATATTATAAAGATCTTTTATTATTAAAAGTTGTCAATAACTTGTCTTAAGATTAGAAATCTTAAAAAATATTCTATTAATATAAAATAAAAGAGTAATATAAGATTAATATTAGAGAGCTATCTATTAAAATAATTATAATAATAAGAAGATTATTGAATACTAAATAATAATATACTATTTAAGATAAAGATAAAAAACAATTAATTAAATATATAATAATAAATAAGTATCTATATATATTAAAGGATATTGAAACTATGCTTTAATATTTAAAATTATTACTTTATTATATAGAAGTTATATTTCTATATATTGAAGCTTTGCTTTGTTGGATTATGTATTTAGTGTATATTAGAATAAGATATCAATACATAATATCTATATTGCTTTATTAATAGCTGTGGCTAGGTTGAAAGTATAACTGTTTTTAGCATTATTTTTGCAATATATAATTATACTTAATAATAATTTTATTTATTATTGCTTAACTTTTGTTGGGTGTTTATGTAATAGTGTCCGCTATAACATTCATTGGCTGTGACTTATTGATTCTTGTGATAAGATACTAAAGATTATATCATTTTAATAATAGATATTATTATTACTATCATTATTTTATTCTATAGAGAAAAAAAGTAATAAAGAGCTGCTGTTATACATTAGTAAAATATAGTAGACAATTATAAACCAGTTTTTCTTTAAAAAAGATACTTTACTTCCAGTTTTAAAAGTTTTTTATTAAGAAATAACAGCTTACTATAATATAATTATTTTCTAAATTTATTGAAATATATTAAGCTAAGCTTTATAAAACAATTTTACTATTTGTAATATAATATAGTATTCTACTAGTTATATAAATATCTTAATAAAATATGAATAAAATAATGATGCTTATAGATATCAATTTATATAAAAAGTATAGCATTAAATCTCTGCTTTTATAATGATAATTTCCTATATGATAAAGAATATTGTAATGTCTTCTTATCTATCTTTTTATCAATTATTAAATTTCATTTCCCATTTTTAAGCTGATAATCTTTTTTAAATAGAATGTTATATAGAGAATAAATATCTTTAATTATAGCTATACCTTATCAATTATATTAAATAATATTAATAGTATCTATTTAATATTTTATCTTAATCTATCTCAAACTTAAATATTTAATAGCAGATTATAGATTTTTATATAATATATAAGACATTTTATAATAACTATTTCTAAGATCTTACTAAGTATATTAAAAAGTAAGATTACTTAATATATTTCTAGAATAGCATAGTCCAGTTTATTCAGTTTCTAAAGAATCATAATTCTTACTTTTTTCTACTATTAAAAATAATATCTAAGATTAATTAATATTATAAAGATCTAAAAGATCTCTTTATTAATATATAACCAGCTTTGTTTCTATACTAATATCAGAATTTTATCTTTTTCTAAAGCTTTAAATATCTATATAGATAAAAAATAAGATATAAAACTTAAATACTCTATCTTTATTAATAATCACTAATCATTTAACATTAATTCTTTAAGCTTTTTATATTTATATCTATTATATAGCTTATTATTATGAATTTTAAAAATCTAATTTTTAAAGGCTTTATCCCTTTATTACTGACTCTAAACTAGATTATAGAAAATAGACCAGCTTCTATATAAAATAATCATTTTCTAAATCTTTTGATTGAAATTTAGTCCTTGATTATTAAATATATTAATATAGATAAGACTAGTCTGACTATTTTTATATTTATTAACTAAGATTATTATCAGTTAATGTAATCTTATTAATTTTATAATATAATAATTGATTATAGCTCTTAATCCTTTTATATTCTTAGTATTCTTATAGATAAAGCTGTTGAGTGATTTAGATTAGAGAATGGTCTTATATATTAACTATCACTAAAAGCATGTATTTATAGTATAAGAATAAATTTAAATCAGTATTAGAAGAAGATTTAGAATATATATTCTAAAGATAATAATAATAATATTAATAATAATAATTATGATAACATTGCTAATATAAATCAATAAAAATAATTATTAAAGAATATAACAATAAAAATTAATTATATCTATAATCTAAATTTTTCTTTTATTATTTTTATTTTGTTTTATCTAGAAGCTCTATACTAAAAGAATAAAAATACTATTGATTATTATCTTTTTAATTATTTAATAGTCTTAGTAATTAAATATTTTAAATTATATAATAGCATTAAGTTTAAATATATTATAATCCTTCTAAACAAAGATTTCTAATAGCTTGAAAGTCTTAGTATTAACATCATATAGGATTTTAGATTTCATTATAAGTATTATATAACTAATTCTTTTTATCTTTAATATAGTCTTTTTTTAGTATATTATTTTTTCTTATAATATCTAAAGTTTAATTATTAATATTTCTTTAATAATTAAGATAAATAAATGTCTTTTACTATAAATTTTTCTAATCTCTATTTTTTTTAGATTAAAATTAATATAATGATTAATTAATTAATATTGTAAAATCTTTTATAAAATAAAAAATTATTAATTTTAATTATTAACTTTAATAATTTAATTATAAGAGAATATTTAAATCAGATAAGATATTATAAATCTATTTAATATCTTATTTAGAATAGTTACACTATGTATTAAATAGTATTACTTCAAGTATTAGATTATAATAATCAGTTAATAGGCTTCATTATTCATTATAGCCAGTCTATTACCCTTCTAAATTACATACTTCCTATTTTAATATCATTTCCTAATTTAAGCATTCTTTCAATATAATAAAATAAAATAATGATTTTAAAATCTTCTTTTATTACTCTTTCTTTTTTAATCAATTTAAAACAGTTGCATATCAGTTCTAATAATTAAATTAGATAGAAATATAACTGATTAATTGATTATAATACTATATAAAACATTTTATTTCCTTTATATAGATTAAAGAATATTATAATCATCTAAGATTTATATTAAATCAATAATAATTCAATAATTAAAGATATTAATAATTATTATTCTTTATTTAGACAGAATCTTAATAAATATATTCAATTTATATAAAATTCTCTAGATAAAAATCTAAGCAAGAATTCTCTATTAAATAATCTATATTTTAGATAAGAAACACTACACTCTTAATATATAATTAGATATATAAAGAAATATACTATTATCTTTAAAGACCTAGAATAAATTCATCTTAGCTAGTTATCCTTTATCTTTTAGAATAATATAGATATAAAGAAAGTGGCTGTCTCAGTTTACTTTAAGAGAATAGATGATTTCCCAGTACTAAACAGTATGTTTGGAGTCTTATAGATATACATTGACAGAGAGTCATCATTACTCTATTATTTCTATTTTGAGTCGTAATGCAAGGACCTGTGGATTTCCTGTTCTTAATTCTAAAGCTGTGCAGCCGCTAACCCGAGATAAGTAGAATGTTAATTGAGGATACAAAGGAAGGAAAAATAAATATGGCCTCAGTCCAGTACCTTACCTCTACTCTACTTATCTTGTAAGTAAGAACAGCCTAACTCTTATAACTTGGAACAGCCTGGCTTTCTAAAGAGTCTAGATGCTGCTTTAACTCCCTCATTTCTTGTTTCAACTATTCCACTTGCATCTCTAAATATTTTAATCTCCTTGAGTTGTCCATCTCCGAAATCTAAATCCTTTACAACATTTACACTATCGCTATCAGTTAAAATTAATCTTAGGTTTGAAGCCAGCCGTAGAATATTAACCACATTAATCTCTTCTTCTGTCGTGACAGCTTTGCGGGAATTTTGGCTTTCTAAGACATCATCTATGGTGATATTATTAAGTTTACCACCATCTGACCTCTTAAGGTCTGGCAGCAAATTTTGATCACTCAACAATGCATCTGAGTCTGCATAGTGTTGTTGAAATCGCCACTGCTGCTCTGATGACAAGCCTTCATGTACGCCATGTTGGTGTGTCAAAAGATTATCTCTTCAGTGGAAGGCCCGAGCACCTTTTCGATCACACCTGTCATAGTCACGAGGGTAGTTGCGCTGTTCAGCTTGTGCATAACCTTCCATCTACTTTCTACATTCAATGCTCACTTCCAACAGCAGTGATAGCATAGAAGGTATTGTCTGGATCATACTTTTATTTGATATCTCTGAGGTGATTATAGTTTGATCCATAGAAAACTTATTTCCAATCTAATTAGGCTGAGTCCGCCTCATTAAGATACACACCCCCTCCTAGCATTATTCTCTCTAGCTTAGAGAGTAGCTTGTTGGTGATAAGCTCTCTGTTAGCTAGATTATTATCCCAATTAGTATAGTTCCAGGACCTTTAACTACTTATTAGTTGTGTTTAGAATATCTGAATAAGGTGAACATATGTTCTAACTATAAGGTCTATCGCAGCATCACGCCAAGCAGGATTGACAGAGTTTCTTTAAACATCTGCTTGCCTTGAGATATTTACAGAGACTCTAGAAAGTAGAGCGGTATTTTTCAATATAAGAATATTTTGAAACACGTTTATAATAACTCCAGGACTTGAATCCAACAGAGACTGTAGGATAAGGCGACCCCCTAGTTGAGCTTCTGTAATATTAAATATTGGATTCATCGCTTAATAGCTTTCATAATAGGATGGGAAATCCTTTATGAAGTACCCTATTTCTTGTCAGTGATTTACTTTAACTGTAGACGGAGGTTATTACTATATGTAACGTTGTCACGTTTTAGCGTCTGCAAAATAGGATCTATCAACTTTTGTAATTGATTTTTGCTTCCACCTGGGATCGTTATAGGTGTAATAGTAAACATTGATTCTATTAATAGCCAAATACTTGTCTTACTAGCATCTAGTATAAGGCCAAGACCTATAATGAATATCTTTGCGGCATTAAAAAAAGTGTCCTGTGAGATTCCAGCATTTGTAAAAGTTAAATTTGCTACAGCGGTGCGAAGTTCTGGGTGAGCTTTACTAGTCATAGACAGTACAATACTTAATGTACCACCGCCTCCACCGGCAAAGGTCCAGTATAGATCCTCATTCAAAGATTGTGAAGCTGTCAAAATCTTTGTTTCCAATGTTATCACTTCAAATTCTAAGATTTGATCCGCTGCAAGACCGAATATAGATGCGAGCTGCTCATAATCTCCCTCTTGTGAATATTCTCCAGCGAAACTGATGGTTTAGCAATTTCCGCCAACTACTACCAGATTGTGCGCGTGCATGATCTTATTTATTTTAAACATCTGGACTCCAGCACCAATCTTGATGGCTTTTCCCATATAATAACGAGAACTGTAATTAATAACTTCAATATCCTTGAAATGGTGAGTCCAGATGCCCAATGTCCCAGGCCCTGTGGACTTTCTTAGATAATCATGCCCTGTATTACGAATGACAAGGCGAATGTTGTGTTCTTTGGAGAACATGATGGTTTTCTGAATATCAAAGAAATTGGTAGCATTGACTGTATATTGAACATGCGTTCTGATCCGACATGGAGCATCTCTGGCAAGGAATGGATCGCAGCTCTGATTAGCGAAGTAGAGAGCCATTATTAAGGACGAACTTTCGTAGTGCATTTTTAGAAAGCCCCATATGGACTTTAAATGTGCACATTTTTGCTCATCATAAGGCACAAAAGCATCATTATGGCAATAGCTTACAATAGGTACTGTGACTATAAGCCTTCCTTCAATAGTCATATTGAAATTGTCCTATTAATGTATTGTCGGCCAACAACTGTCACCTAAAAAGCAGCGACAAGTCAAATTAAAAAATGCGTCAACTACATTGAAGTATAAAGTTATATAAAGGATCAAGCTCAGCGTCAATGGCGTCTTAGCAAGTTTTACACTATTCATAGTAGCTTTAAGTCTCGGTTTCTCAGATCAAAGAAGTAGAAAGTACTCAGTTGAGTTGATTCATTCACGTCTCATAGACTGACTATGAAAAAGTTATTTAGGGTCCGATGAAGAAGAATAGCTATGTTGGTATTTAAATTATTATTAATGTGTTGGTTCCTGAACAGACAGACTGATTTTGATCTAGCAATGAAACATTCAAACTTTCTTAAAATATAAACTACTTGGGATTTCCCGACATTTTTCCAACAATATATCTTCGATATTATACGTAGGGCGGCTTGGGTGACTGATGTTTCAGAATGCTGAATGAATTTATAGTTAAGGTTTCGCACAATCTTTCCTGAAAGGGTCGCAGGATTGGACTTACGGAGTACCCGTCTCTTTCAGCAGCCCCACTCTTTGAGTTGGTCTGCCAAAGTGCAACGCCAAATGTTATAAATTATTAGAAAAACACATATAATTCCTATTAAACTAGATTCTAATTATCTTTAAGCAAGACTGGGATTGCTAACAGGGTTAATAATAAATAAAATATCAGAATTTTGAGATTCTGTGGCGTTAGGGGGGGTGCAATATCCCATTCTTATATAAGGTTAGAAATGCTAGTTTAGGACTCTCTAAGAATTAGTGGGGGTTTCGGGCTAGGAGGCTGCTGGGTTAGGGCTAGGATCGCATGCCTCTAGGAGTATCTATCCGTCTCACTATAACCGTAAAGTATCCATCATGTAGAAATTAAATGAAGATCTTATATCTTTAAAGATATCCTATTATATTCTATTTATAATCAATCTTAATATATATTACTATTTCATTATATTAATTCTATTATAATTAAAAGTATATTTAATAAGAATTAATAAATTTAATATTCTAGTTAGATAAATCATTATATTATTATTTAATTTTCTATGATTCTTTTACATCTATTATCTTCTAGAATACTAAAGATAATAATTATATCTAGATCTTATACTATCATTCTTTTTCTGTTATTTTTATATATATGGTTTATTTTTAATCTTATTATAATAGATAAATTATCTATAACTAAATATATTAATTTTATAGATTCTAAATATATTCCTATATTAATAATATACTTTGTTTAGTTTACTTATTAGTCTCATAGAATAAATTTATATTTTCTTTTTAAATAAGATATGTCTCTAGTACTCTTATTAAATTTAATATTTTTTAAAATTTTAGAATTATATATTATAAGTAATTATAAAAGATTAATTGTTTTAGAATATTATTTATTATTAGATCAATCTTATACATAAGAGACTTTGAGATATTATTATCTAAGTCTATATAATAGACTACTAAAAGATAATAAAAAAGATAAATCAAAATTATTATTAGAATTAATATAATATTATTAGATTTTTTATTTTATTGTAATTCTTATATATAATATTAGAATTTTAATAATTAAGTGATTTATTTTTTATAACTATATATATATTATAATAGATTTTATTTAATTAATAATATACTATAAATATTTTTTTTTTTTAAAGAATATATATTATTAATAAAAAGATTTTAATAAATCTAGATTTTATAATACTTTAAAAAAACTATTATTAGTAATGATTAAAAATTATTAAAATTACTTATTCTTAAAAGCATTGCTTTTGATTATATTAGAATAAATGATTATTTATATATCTTTAAGAGTGTTATTTTTTTCTATTATAATGATAAGATTGACTTACTATAATTAATTGTTATAATAAGATATTCTTAAAAATAAGCTTATATTAATCTTAATAAAAAAATATGTTTAAATATAATATCTTTTTATTTAACACATATCTTTTTTTCTTTTACAATTTATAAAATATATAAAGAGAGCATTCTATCTTATTATTAGGATTATTAATGATTTTTTTATATATTAAAGATGATTATATTATAAAATATAACTAGGCTGTCATTTGGTTCGGTTGTGGTCCTGAATTTCTGAACCAAACCCAAAAATGGGTCGATTTGGTTTGATCTTTAATATTGGAATCAGAACTAAAAATTAAATAATTCTAGCTTTTCAAACTAAAATCAAATCACACTAAAAAGAATTACTAATTATAATTAGATTAGTTTAAGTCTAATCTAGTTTTTATTCAGATAATCAAATTATATCAAAGAATTTCTAATTACAGTTAGATTTTATTCTTAAAAATATATTAAAATCTTTCTAAATTTTAGTGAATTTAATAGATAAATAATATAAAAATTAGAATTAATTATTTAAATTATAATTTTCTAACCAAAATACCTGAGTGTAGTAAGCTGTACTACAATCACAAACTCTATTTTAAAATTATTTTTGCTAGTTAAATCTAGGATTAATATTATGAATTATAATTAAAAACTTTTATATATTATAATCAACTTTTATTATTTGATTATTTCAAATATTGAATTAATTATTTTTATATCATTCAATTACTTATTATTAGAAAATTAATAATATCTAATTAAGATTGCTTACAATATTATCAATTAAAAAGAATATATTTATTAAATAATATTAATTAAATGTAACTAACACTAGTAGTTAGAATATATTAGAGTATATTATAGTAGATTATCAAGGATTTCTATATATTAAAGTATAATAATATTAGATATTATCTATATAATAGATTATCATTATAATTATAGATCATATTAATATTTATTATATAGATTAAAGTGATTAATTATTATTATTATATATAATACATTTTTTAAGCAGTTAAAGAAATTTTCTATTATAATATACTAAAAATGTTGCTATATAATGTAATTTAGCTAGATTGAAGTATATTTATATTATATATATTATTATATATCTATTATTATACATATCATGCTGACTGATAATATCTAGATATAGTCCAACATTATATATAATCTAATTGAGTTAGATATTCTAGTTATCTAAGCTATAGCTATCCTGTAGTTAATTATATCTATCTATAGATATCAATATTAATTAAGTTCTTATTTATGTTAATATATATATATCATTATACTTAATATATAATAACATTAGATTAAATATCATCAGTGATTTTAAATCTGAAAGATTAGATAGTTTATCTATATAAAGTAGAAATAAATTTAATATAAATAAGACTAGATATATCATTTTATTTAATGTTAATGATTATTTTTGTGAGGCCTGGCAGCAGCAAGAGCGCTGCAGGCTCACAGAGGCTTATAAGTGTACCAATCCTGGGATTAAGCAATGGCCCAATTACCTCAGTATTACTTTTTAGCATTTAGAGATTGACAGTAGGCTGTCATTTGGTTCGGTTCTGGTCCTGAGTTTCTGAACCAAACCTAAAAGTGGGTCGGTTCAGTTTGGTCTCTAATATTGAAACCAAAACTGAAAACTGAATGGTTCTAACTCTCTAAACCAAAACTAAATCACACTAAAGAAGAATTATTAATTATGATTAGATTAATCTAAATCTAATCTAATTTTTATTTAGATAACTAAACTATATTAAAAAATTTTTAACTATAATTAGATTTTATCTCTAAAAATATATTAAAATCTCTTTAAATTTTAATGAATTAGGTAGATAAATAATATAAAAATTAGAATTAATTATTTAAATTATAATTTTCTATCTAATTATTGAAATATACTGAAAAAATAGATAAATAATAATAAATACTATAAAATAGATATAGAAATATATATATATATTTTCTTCTATATAATATAATTTAAAAAATATAAATAAAAAATAGAAAAGATATTATTGCTATCTAGATAATTCTTAGATTATAATTTAAATATTAAGAATTTATTATAATATTTATAAAAATATTTAAAATAAAGTTCTAATTCAAAAAATAAGAATTCAATTTATAAAAAACTGCTTTGGAAATGATTATATAATCAATAATAATTATAAAGGATTAGGGTTAATTTTAAATATTTTAGTATTATTAATGGAAATCCATTAGTATTTAGATATTCAGATAAAATCGAACCGAAAATCCAAACCGAACTAGACTTAAATAGGTCTCAAAAAACCATATAGTCCTAGACTTGGTGAATTGAACCACATCAGTTCACTGTATATAGAACCAGAACTGGACCATTCGGGTTTCAGATCGGTTTTGGTTCGGTTCGAACCGAACCAAATGACAGCCTAATTGACAGTATTAAGAAGCCTTACAATATAATTAGATCATTAGAGACGTTAAAGGCCCCTAATTCAATTCTTACAGATATAAAACTATATAATAAAATTATTAAAGCCTAATCTTACTCAATAAGTCTAGCATTTCTATCCTCTATAAAAAACAGTTTCAAAGAGTCTTTTAAATATAAATTTATAAAGTCTTTAGTCCCTAAAAAGCTGCAAAGTGTAATGTATTTTATAGAAACAGTCTTTAGAAAGTATATAAAGCAGCATCTTTAAAGAGAGACATCTCTTAAGAGAAAAGTCTTTTAGAAAAGATAAAGTGGGGGGCTTAACAGTAACAAGAGTACTACAAGCTCATAGAGACTTATAAGTGTGCCAATCCTAGGATTAG